AGACAATTGTGTGTGTAGGATTAATTACCTGTCCAACAGAAAACTGGCAACTTGAGCGTCACTTTGAAAACCTTTTTCCTCCATCAGTGACTTCCATCGTGTAAATGCCGTGCCAATGTTGATCCGTGTTTTTTGTGGTTTCTTGTCACGCTTGCGTTTATTCTCGTCGTGTTAGATGACGGGGGTTCGGTGTCCGCCGCTTTTCGTTGTGATACAGAGTAGGCATGATCCTCCATTCGTCTGATGTTTGGCCACACAGTGCCAAACAGTTTGCAAAGTCACTCACGCCTGCCGCCTTGTTCACATTTCTTGTTACTGAGGCGCAGTATACCTGCTTCTTCTTCTTCTTCTTTGGTTTCAGGCAGACTAAACGCTTCTCAGGCATAATACTGCCATCTACTGTTCAGTACCGTCTCAGTTCATCTCTCTCAACTTGCCGTAGTTACTTTCGAGTGTAATGGGCGATCTCGCAAACGCTAGTTTGTTGGCTCTGCGCTGCCGTAGCGCAAAGATATCTGCCTCCATGGCTGCGAGACCCGCTCCTATGTAATTATAAATAACGAATTCTAAGGCAACGCAAATATTAAGGTTAAAAGGCTGAGCTCGTAGATGATGATAAATAACATAGTTATATATAATATATTACATTTCTGACTTTATATCCCTGTAATTATTACACACTGTAGCTTTAAGTATTAAGAGAATTTATTCCGGTCAAGTTTCACAAAATAATTGATATAATGCACACATTACAGAGCAGGGTTTACCTTAGGCCTGCTTTTTGACCACTGATCAGGGAAACAGTCGGCCTGTTGTCACTTCCCTCCAGCTTATACTCCCACACTCTATCCGCCGCAGTTAGAGCACTCACTAACCCCTGAGTCTGCCTACTTATTACATACTGTAAACTCAGATGTTTCTATTGAAAAAGTGTTGGAATGTCTGTCTAGCTGATTTGCCAGTCGCCACATCGACACATCATGTCAGCAGAGAGATAAAACAGGAGTTTGGGCAGCCCAGTGTGTGGATGGCTCCAGGATGTCACTGATAAACCGCACACATGTATGTCAAAGTTAAGACCGTACAACATGAGTCATATGAAGGATTCCAGGTTAGGCCTACCTCCAGCCAAAACAAGTTTGAGTATGGACATTTTATCATTTTCACAACAATCCTGAACCACGATGAAGCAAGATTTGAACGCAATACAAACCCGGACACTCCATACACCCAGAAGAAGAACACAACTAAATGGACAAAAATAATTAAACTGCTTTCCTTGCTAATACTGTTAGCAGGGGATATTCACCTCAACCCCGGCCCGGCTGTCATTGGCGACATCTCGCAGCTGATGGGACCAGGTCCAGCCGCGTCTGAGCCGCCGGCGATGGAGGCGGTGACAGCGCATGTGTCTGAGCCGGCTTTACTCGGGCTGATCTTGCCCCGCCGCTCCGACACCACTGTGGATATGCTGAATATGCCTGAAATGGATGCATTGCAACTCGGGGAGGGTCGCGTCCTGTTGCCCAGGAGGGAGGCTGTGGAGAGCGCTGGAGGTGCGGCCGCACCGGTGAGAAAGGCAGGGTCAGCCGCCATGGGCCGCTGGACTACGCAGGTGTCATCCGGAGGCGAGTCACCGGGAGAGCGGCGGGCCACACCAATAGTGTGCGAAGAGAGGGAAATCACATCACAAGAGGACAATGCCCGAATATTTTTTCCCCCCTCAATAAAAACGAGGAGCCGGGATAGACCATCACCATTAATATCAACTGGAGCGGTTTCTAACCCTACAGAGCAGAACGGAGCTGGACAGAAACCTACAACAGGAGTAGTAGTGAGTAAACACTCATCTCAACGGATTTTTTCAACAGTGAACCACGCTAAAGTTATATGGGACAAAAATAGTAAACCGAAGGGTATATTTGGGGCACATTTGAACATCAGGAGTTTGTTGCCAAAGCATGATGAGATTAAGACATTATTGATAGAGTCAAATTTGCACTTCTTAGCCTTAAGTGAGACATGGCTCAACAGTAAAATTCACTCTAATCTAATTGATATTCCAGGATATAGTCTTTATAGAACTGATAGGAAAACAGGCAAAGGAGGAGGAGTGGCAATTTACTTAAGAGACTCTTTTAAGTGCACTGAAGTCACCTTTGAACATGATGTAAACATTGAGCATATTTGTGTTGAAGTATCACTGTCATCAAGCATGCACTTTTTAATTGTGGTTTTATATAATCCCCCTTCTTGCAATGAAATGTTTTATGGTGAACTAGATAAATTGTTGAAAATGGTTGCCCATAAGTCAGAAGTTATCATACTGGGTGATTCTAATATTGACTGGCTTAATTCTAGCAAAAGGAAAAAACTTAAGACCCTAATGACAAAGTTTGATTTTACCCAGATAATGAAAGGTGCCACAAGGATCTCAAAGTCTTCAAAGACCCAAATTGATTTAATATTCTCTAATAAAGAAGATCGAATATTGAAATCATACAATTTTCTAACCGGTTTGTCAGACCACAATATGATTTTGATAGCAAGAAAACTTTCTAAAAAACGCCTTCAAAATGTTAACAATATTAAATCAAATATATTAACTATTTTTAAGCGCGATTTCCCTGTTTTAGACAATGAATTAAATGGCATCAGTTGGAGCAATATTTTGGAAAATGAGGATGTCCACAACTGTTGCAAAGAATTAATAAGTAGTTTGGAAGAAGTAATTTCTAAGTTCCTCAAAAAACAAAAACATTTAAAAAAAAGATCTTTACCGTGGCTTAATGGTGACATCAGGAGATTGATGAAAGAGAGAGACATGGCTTTGAAGAAATCACTTAAAAGTAAATTGAATACTGATATCAACATATATAAAAGTTTAAGAAATCGTGTCATAAAAAATTTAAGAAAGGCAAAAATAGAATATTACATATCTACAATAACAGAAGCCAAAGGAAGTCCATCTATAATGTGGAAACAAATAAATAGCATTGTAAAACCACAGAGTACAACAAAAATGTTTGAGCTTAAAATTGGAGACCAGCAGATAAGAGACATTAAACAAATAGCCCAGGAATTTAATAATTATTTTGTGTCATCTGTGGAGGAGCTGGTCCAACAGTTTGATTTTGGAAACCTTACAAGACCAATTCAACAACAGGTTACAACATTCTCCATAGAGCAGACTGGTGAATCCGTTGTGCTTGATGCCATAAATACAATTAAACAAAGCAATTGCATGGATCTCTCCCACATTAATACTGCTTTCGTAAAGCGAAACAAAAATGCACTCATAAAACCTCTAACGCATGTAATTAATTTGTCCATTGAGAGCGGGCAATTCCCTGCACCCTGGAAACAGGCTAGAGTTATGCCTATCTTTAAGTCAGGATCCCAAGACCAGGCCTGTAACTATCGGCCTATAAGCATCCTGCCTGTATTTTCTAAGGTGTTAGAAAAAATAGTCTCCAATCAGTTAATGGCGTACATACAGTATCATAAAATCTTACATCCTTTACAGTTTGGCTTCCGACCTCATTATTCTACGGATACAGCAAACTGTTATTTTGTTGAACAAATAAAGTTGGCAATAGACAGCGGGGAAATAGTAGGCGCAGTCTTTTTGGATCTCAAAAAGGCATTTGATACGTTAAATCATAAAATTCTAATTGCAAAATTATCCAAATTAAAATTTTCACCGAAAACTTTACAGTGGTTTGAATCCTACTTAGAAGGAAGAGAGCAGTGTGTCACAATAAACAATGAAAAATCATCATTTTTAAAGATAAATACAGGAGTGCCACAGGGATCCATCCTTGGCCCTCTACTCTTTACATTATACATAAATGACTTGCCAGAGTCTTGTCCAACAGCAGGTTTTCAGTTATATGCAGACGATGCAGTAATTTATGTTCGTGGAAAGACTGTGCAAGCAGTTTCTAATGAACTGTCAGGACATCTACAAACTGTGTCAATGTGGTTCCATAATGCAGGGCTGTCTCTGAATGTTAAAAAAACTATGTCTGTCTGTTTCTCTTCTAGGACCAGGCCCATATCTCAAGAACTAAATTTACAGATAAATGGAGCTAGAATCCAGCAGGTCTCAGAAATCAAGTATCTAGGACTAATACTTGACTCACAATTGAAATTTGACAGCCATGTAAAAAAAGTGTCCAGAGTGACAAAAGCAAACTTGTACACATTCAAACTGATTAGAGATTCCCTACCGTTTCACGCTGCTCACAGTTTTCTGCACTCCATGATCTTTTCCCATCTAAGTTACTGCATTAGTTCTTGGTCACAGGCCACAAGCACTACTATCGAGCCTCTTCAGATGATCTATAATAGAGCTATAAAAATCTTAGATAAAAAACCAGTCAGGTCTCATCACTGTGTTAGTCTGAATAATTTAAAAATGCTGAATTTCGAAAACTTTGTGAAATTTGCTCAGTTAAAACTGGTTCACAAATGCTTGCATGATAAGGCCCCTAAGGTTTTGAGCGACTGTGTAATTCCTCTCAGAGCTGTGGGCTCAGTCACAAGAGGAGCCCACAGTGGAAACTGTCAAGTTCCCAGACGCAAAACCTCTTTCGGTCAATCAGCTTTCATTGTACAAGCCACCAAAACATGGAACACATTACCTGCAGAACTGAAGGGAGAGTCAAACTGGGTCCTTTTTAAACATAAACTTAAAGACTTTTTATTGAGAGGTCAGTCATGTGAACATTAATAATCTAACTGACCTGATTTTATTTCTGTGATGTTTTAATGTGTAATTTGCTCTGTTGTTCTTGTGTACAGTCACTGTGTTTTATGTAAAAGCCTAACTGGGGACAGACATTGAGAATTAGCCTTAGCTAAAATGTTGTAGTGTGTGACATGATGCATGAAACATACTTGTCCCTATCAAATAAACGAATAAATAAATAAACACTGATCAGTAACCTTAAACAAAAACCAAACCTTTAAAAGAAATTAACCTTCAACACAACAAATAAGAAATAAGTTGTTTTTTTATTATACTGACCAGGCCAACCAAAGTTATCATTAAAAGTAAATATGATTACAGAATCTATACATTTAAATATTAAACCAGCACTTTTGTTAACAAATTACACTGATGTATTTGTATGATCTATCAAATTAGACACAACTGATGGAAATTTCACGGTTTCTAACATATCTCATGATACAGACAGATCCATTGCTTGATACTTTTTATGCTTTCTATGTAATATATTTACTAAATTTAAAATAAAACTGTAAATACAGGTACAGAAGTGGTAAAATATAAGATCACTCAGGCAAGGCAAATACAATGCATGTACAATCCTTGAAAAGCACACTGTAAAGCACACAATGGTAAATTACAAAAAAACAGATATAATTATTTTACACATCAATTATGATACACCTTACACTAGCAATTCATTAAAATCCTAATCTAGAAAAAAACATTAATGAATAAAATAATATGTAATCATGCTAAGAGAATGACGTAGTTACTGAAGCCTCAGCTATATTTTAAAATACATAATACCAAAAAGCTACTGTACCTTGTAGCATTTTATCTATTAAATTTGACTTTATGTATTGCAGATGTCACACATAAAATGACAAAATGTCCAAAAATTAAAGGTTCTGCTGAAGAATCTTAACACAAGGTTTTACATTTCATTACAAAAATTATCTTTTGTAAATTAGGTTTTTATAACATGTTAAGCTCAATAAGTCTTCCAGCAAAGACGGCAAGGGTCCCAATAATGCACACAGCCATGAAGACACACAGCAAAATGTGATCCAACACCATGGCCACAAACTTCCATTCCTCTGCCGCCTGAAATGAAATGAGATGAGATTACACTGTTGACATTTATAATTAATGAATTAAATCATTTTATACTTTGTCCATACCATTAAATATTTTAACCAAGTTAATCATGTGAAAAAGGACTAAGGTACTGAGTGCTCAACTGTGATTAAGAAAGAGTGATAATGAGTGCTTTCTTAGTAAATATTCTTACTTAAAGGTATTGTGGAGGATTCTGGCAAATAAAAATAAAAAAATCCCATGCACAACCCTGTTCCCAAATTTCTATGTGTGAGAGAGCATGCATAAGCCCATTTCAAAAGTTTTTTTTAAGTTGCTGTATAATCAAAATCAGAACGTAGGCGCTAGAATTCAGGCGTGACAGACAGGGATTACTTTAAAGGCATTTATTGAATACAGACGCGGAGCTGTGGTTCTGCAGAACCTTAAGTAGGGCGGGGAACTGCCCATCACTGGAAACTAGTGGAAAAAAACACAGGTAAGTGACCATGATAATCCTAATGAGGATGATTATCAATTTGAGTCACTGAGCTGGTTTGAGAGTTCAGTCCACCACCATACAACGCGTTAGGATGCAGCCGGAGGCTGGATGCCGCCCAGAGTGGACCAGATGCTGCAGTGCTGGAGGGGAAGCACGAGTCCGAGCCAGGTCAGGGAAACAGATCAGAACAGGAAGGCACAGAAATCCAGGAGTCCATAGCCCAGTCAGGATTCCAGAGCAGGAACAGGCTGGTTCAGGGGGGAGTGGTAGCCTAGTTGTTAGAGCAGCGCACTTGCAGAAGTTGCAAGTACCAGGTTCGATCCCCACAGCCTCTACTCTGACTCCCTGAGCAAGACCCTTAACCCTGATTGCTCCCCAGGTGCCACACAATGACAGCACACTGATCCAAAAGTGGATGGGTTAAGATGAAGTAAATTTCTCCATTGTGAGATCAATGATTTTTATTTTCTCTCTCTGTTAGGAGTCCAACAGTTCAGTGGTTGAGAGGTATATCAGGAATACTACGGTACGCTAAAAACTGGCTCTCTCCCCTTTAGCCAAGACAGGAGAAGGGCATGCTTAGTGGATAAGAGACAGAACATGATCAGGAACTGGAAAACAAAGAAACACAAAAAATCCTCTGTCACCACCCGAAGAATTATGGCATCAGCAGCAACATCAATCATGTCAAACTCAATGATCTGGCCCTGCAAGCTGAGCCTAAGCCGTATATAAAGAAGCAGGAGCAGGTGGATTAGATGAGTCCTAACTGGAAACCGGGCAGAGTTAGGCAGGTTAATGAAATGAGCAATTAGCTTTCAGAGCCATGATCCTGACATGCTGTTTGCATCGCTCATACAAGCTTACTTTCTAAAAGAATATTTGCAATTTTCCAACTATGTCAGACTCACCAGTGATAAGTGAAAATGGGGATAAGCACGTAGGACAGCCTTACGTACACATATCACCAGAATGATTGACAATTAGGAGGACCAATTATTTTGATGATCCACCAAGAAAAAAAACATCCTCCACTATACCTTTAAGTATATATTTAAATGGCTTGTTTTTTTCTTGTACAAATTATTTATTAAAGGAGTGCACATATTTGGCAAGGCTAGTTTATTTCTATAAGATATTTAGTAAAAAGACAATTCAAAGTTCTGCACATAAAAGCACATAAGAACATACACATCTACAGAAAAGTAAAGAATAAGTTAAACTGATGGTTTCTGAAATTTGCCACTTGATGGAACTTGATGCTTTTAGGTCAACATTTTCACCCTGGGTAGGGCACACTTTTTTGGGAATTTATTTGGGTCTAACTATAAATACTGTTTACTGATAACGGTTTGTTTTATACTGAACTTGTACTTTTAAGGCTGGTGAATGTAATTTGCACTTTGCATCATTTCACTTTGATTAAATGAAAAAAGTCTTGTTTGAATCTACGCATGTCTTGATTGGAGACATGCGTAGATTTAAGCATGTCATCATGCTTGCTCATCATGGACAGGTTCTCTCAACCTGTGTTATCCAACTGGACTTCCATCTTCCAGGTCCCTGAGTGAAGCTCTAGTATCAGCTCATGCAGTCCACTGGATCTCCCCATAAAGCTCAGCAGACCGTCTCACTAACCAGCAGTCTACAGACTGACCAACTTCATCTATCTCCTCTCCACCACTAGTTTCAGGCCTGTATGAAAACAGCCCTGTTCTTTACTCCTGTTCATGCATATCTATTAAAGTTACAGTAAGCGCTATGTTTCCTGCTGAGGTCTGAGCGCCAAAGACAATAAAATTGTATCAATGCATTTCTCCTAATTGTCTTTTCTCTTCATGTGAGTTTTTCAGATTGAACTCACAGACAAACAACTCCTTAATGCAGCAAGAACTCACAGGAAATACAAGTGGAAAAAGTAGGCTATCACACATAATGTGGCATTGAGCTAATACTTTTTTTTCTGTTTTACAACTGTAGCCTACAGTCATTGCATTTAAGGCACAAATATGTTTATACGTTTGCACAAGTTTGCTGTTGCACCAAAATGAGCACTATTTATTTATTGTTTTATATACATTATTTCAGTCTGAAGTTAAGCATACAGGCTTATGTTTAAGATACTTATTTTATTTAGCAAAGTTTGTTATTTTGTATTAAAGTGAGTTGCTGGATAATAATTAAACTAATACTAAATCTAAGATGGCTGTCAAAAACAACACAGTTTTGGATGTTTTCTTACCTTTTTTACCTTTCAGGACAAAAGGTAACTGATGATTTGACAAGAGCTCAAAATTGTGCAAATACTGATGCTACTCTGAATGTTTCTAACCGAGGCAAAAGAGCTGTTACTGCCCGAGGTTTTGTGAAACAATGTGCCATAGCAGGAATGGATCAGGTAATCATACAGGTTCCCTGAAACTCCACTGTGGCAGCTGAATTGGACCTGTGTGATGTGATTCCATGTAAGGGGTTTGATGGAGTTATACAGAAATGCTGAGGCATATGTCTGTTTATTCGCTCATGGTAAACCAGAATATGAATCATGGTGTCCAACTTACAATATTCCTGCAGGTGTAACAAATCAGATTAGTTTAGTCAGAGCTAAGCGAACCCAACTTACAATCGAGAAAGAAATCCTTTGGTCCTGATGGTTAAAAACTTGCTTTCACTCACGTTCAGCTGCTGACAACAAGGATTTAGATTATTTTCACTTAATCTTAGTTGCTAAATTTCTTGGTAAAGATCCAAACAGAGTTTTTAAAATTCAATTTGTAGACCCAGCTCCAACCTTAGACTATCTATGACACTGTAGATAGCTTTCTTCCAAGTACAGACTCACCTGAACCACTGGTAAACTATTTACACCTCTATTCATCAGATGTAATGATGCAGGTTGAAACTGGTTTTTAAAGAAAAGAAGATTTGGCTTGAATGGATTACATTCCCTGCTAAGAGCAATAACATGGCAGACTGCATTGTGCATTCCACAGCTGGACGAAGGCTTCTCACCTCCACTTCACCTCTGTTGTATGACACACAGTGTCCTGGATTCTGTTGTTCTTCCTTCTTTGACAAGTTAAATAACCTGAGTAATGTTCATCCTACCCATGATTGATTTTATGAGGATTTTAAATTGCTATTTTTTTCATTATTGATATTTAAAGTGTTCTAATCATTGAATTCTTATCTGATATTATTTTACAGATTGAAGTTGTACTGATTTTCTATTTACTTCCTGAAAACTGTTTTGACTCACCTGCAACGCCACAAAGTGTCTGAATGAGAAGAGTGTTTGGGAGAAGAAATACTATTCCCATAACAACCCAGGTTCTTTCTCAAGGTTTATTCATAACGTCTTGCTCTTTTATCAAATTGTCTGTAATTAGTTTTCTCTATAGCCACTTTCACACATTTTCAATTTTTGTGAGACAAAAACTCTGTCTAGATCAGAAAAGGAGAGAACACGATGCTGTTAATGCTGTGTTGTTCTCTTTTTACTTTGCAATGTAAAATAAGGTGCTGACTGAGTGAAATCCATGGATCTTGATTTATTTACCTGGACTGTATTTATAGTCAATTCATTTTTGCCGTAAAGGGTGCCGTGTGAAAAAAGTAATTGTTTCAAATGGCACCCTTGATGTAACCTGACTCCACCAGATGGATTTGCTCCGCATATCCATCTGGAAACCTTCCGTTGGAGTAATTTTGGGAAGGGGCGAATATACTGGTTAGCTGATTGGCCTATGTCGGTGATAGACGGGCCAAATAAACCAATCAGATCAACGAAGCATATGACGTACTAACAGAGCGACGACGAAAACACAACCACAAGCCAGGCTACTCTTGCCGAAACCAGTCGGGAGAAGCGCAAAAACATCTTTTCCTCTGAGAAAAGCCTCCAGAGCAGTGTTTTGCTCTTCTTTCAGTGAATAAATACTCTGTAATTCAGATAAAACTTGCTCGATAGCCACGCTAACGCTAGTTTCATCGGCTGAAGCCGCCATGTTCTTTAGACTGAACTGTTGTGCTTCTCGTTGCGTCACACCTCAACCCGCCTCAAAGCCAACGCTGATTGGACGTTCGTTTGGTGAACGGCTCCAAATTTTCTTTAAAGGTACACTATACAACCGGTGTTGATTTTCCAGCGAGGCTCCCCCCAGAGGGCGAAAGTAAAAGTGCACTGTTGTAAATATGCACAGCTTTTCTGCTGGTTTCTCCATCAAGCCAGGCGCGGTTGTTTTGAGCTTAGCAGACAGGCGAACGCAACGAATGACTAATGCTGCGTTCACACCGCAGCTGGCGCGACAGAAGCAGCGAGTTTACATGCAAAGTCAATGGTTGACGCGCGTCAAGGCTGGGGGCGTGTAGCAGTTCTCGCCGTAAAGCAAAACTGACTCTCACGAGACTTCTGAGCCTGTGGGTGCGAGTCGGTGCTCCTGCAATTGCAAGTGCGGTATTTCCCCCACAGACCACCAGGGTGGCCGAGAATACCTTTGTTCAACCTGAAATGACTCATTTAATCATCCAAAATGATATGGAACACATTAATTAACTGAAAAATGTTGCATAGTGTGCCTTTAACGGAGAGTCTCCAGACTGATCTGCGAGTGAAACCTCGAAAGCTCGCGAGATCAGAATGGTCTCACGAGGCTAGACAAATTCTGCTTTTCACACTCCACTCTAATGGTTTGCTCTCAGTAGTATGGATCATCCATCGCTACTTAATAAACTACATGTGGCTGATCATCCTCAGCCAAGCGTAAACAAACCCTTTGTCTAACTATCAAGATTTTATTTCTTCCAGCTCACAAGAGGCCATACTAAACATTCTTTAATTTATACCAAAAGGAATCCCTAAATTATATCCAAATTAAATATTTAATTGAATTCTGTTTATTTTTGGATAGAGAGCCCAATAAGAAGGCACATAGATCATTGAAAATTTCTCTCTCATTGTTCGCGTTTCTATCTGTTTAAATATGATGTAAATGTTTACTTGTATTGTCATTTTATGTAGCATATTCATTCAATTTAGGTGTGGTTTTCTCTTTGTATTTTTTATTTTTTTTTACATCAAAACCCTGGGAATTTAAATCTATTTTGACCCCTGAGCAGCAGTAACCAACTTGGGTGACGTTCAAGGCACGTCTAACTGGGAGGAGCCTGGAATTGTCTCCTGAGACTGATTCCCAAATGACCCAATTCAGAATTAGCCGAAGATAATATATAAGATAATAATATAATATTAAAAAGGGAACTCTCTTTAAGTTTTGAAAATGTTTGTGTAGAATCTGTTGCAAGGTTTTGGCCAACAGTGGATTCATGTTTCCATGATGCATTAATCCACTCCCTTACATTGTTCGATTCCTCATCTGATTTCATGGTTTCTGCGATGTACTTCACCCCTTCAATGGCACTGCGGACATCAGGATTCTTCATCATAGGAGACTTGTAGGTTACACTAGCGGGTGTGGGGTTACCTGTAGAGAAGAAAGGATGTAAGTTTGGTTCCAGGTTGTGCTTCCATCAACTCCTTATGTCCAAGCATATTGGTATGATCTTTTTTTTTTTTTTTTTTATCTTTTTAAAAACTGGTCACCAATTGCTTTCTGTTTGTTTTTGTCATATATTGTTTTGGTTTTACAGCACTTTAAACACAAAAGATGTTATTTTAACTTTATTTTAGAAATTTTTGAATATCTCTCATAAATATGCTTCACTGCACAGACATACTTACAGAGAATGTTATTTTATGCGTACATATTTTTATTTAGTGTATTTATTAATCTTTACCAATTTATATACTTAAAGTCTTGTTGCTCTCTAGTTGTGGACATGTGTGGAGATAAAATGTTCTCTTTTGACCCTCGGGGGAAGAAGTAGCTAATGTCTGCTGAATGCATAAATGCATCATGTGCTAGCAAGAAGCGGTTTGATTAATTTTGGTTGGAAAACAGGGAAAGTATGCCCTGATGAGCAGGCGACAGTATCACATGTAATGATCAGATTTTTTACAATTATTAAGTGTTTATAACTTATTTTGATAAAGATTAGGTCTGTGTGTGCACCTTGATGCTCTATCTCTCAGGTTCTTTTTCCCTGAAAAGAGATAACTCGGGACAAACCATACAAAAAAAAACTAACTTATATGTACAACCTATTCTTATTGTGAGTTTGTATGAAATCGTAAGAAAAGTTATGCACCGTAATTTTGTACGTTTTGGACGTTTTTTTCGTCGTATGCGCATGCGCATCTGACGCACCATTCACGAATATATAATACAAATTACAATTAGCCCTAACCCTGACCCTAACCCTAAGATATAAAACAGCAAGCAACGTAGTTAGAGACATGAATAAGTGATGATTGCACTGTTTTTCCCATTTTGACGCCCGTCTGCGGATCTGCTTTTTTTTCTGTCTGCCAGCGCATGCGCACTGATGTGGTTTTTTGAGGAAAAACGTCCAAAACGTAGGAAATAGTGTGCATAACTTTTCGTACGATTTCATACGCACTTATAATGAGAATATGTTGATATGTATTAAATAACCATGAGACATGACAATAGATTCTGATAGAAATTGTAATCTTACTCAGATCAGAGAAGTTCCTTAGAGTTTACAGGATGCAGCTGCTCACCTCAAAGCTCACGTCTTAGGAAGTGGCCCCGATGAACAGTTAAAAAGGCATTTTATACATCTCACATGAGATGTGTGAGATTTGTTATTAATGTTGCTGATGTTTCTGAGCCATTACAAAAGAGCCACTTAAAGGAACCAGTCTATCTGTACATTGTAATATTTATATTTAGTTACTGTTGCATTCTCAGCAATATGAAAGCACTGAATAAATGTATGGCGTTCAAATTTGTGTTTGGGCTTAGTTTTAGCAAAAACCTAACAAAAGCCTTTAAATCCTGTAACTGCAGGGTCATCATCCCCAACCCTTATAGCAGGGGGAACCAATTAAAAATCAGCGGAGTCCCAATAAAGAAAATCATCAACCAGTAAAGGTCTGGAGACATTTTTAATGATCTCTTACTTTAAACAGAATTTAACACTGAAATAAAATTAGGTAGTTTGGATTTAGGTTTTTACATATACATAGATATACGTACAGATATATATATAGAAGAGCTATATGTGTATATATATTTTATCTCTTTTTATTCTTATTTTTTATCTTTATTATATTGTATAGTTGGATGTGTGTATATATCATGTAAAACTGTAACTAGAGCGTGTAACAAAAGTAATTTCCCTCTGGGATTATTAAAGTATTTCTGATTCTGATTCTAGTTATGCATCCATGTTATACATCAAATTTTTAAGTAAAAATAAAAGAAAGAAATTTTTCTAAAAGTGATTTTTTAAGTAGAGAACAACAATTGTTCAGTTTTGTATATAGACAATTTTCTGATTCCCATATTTTATAAAACACCTGAACTGAAAGTTTGTTTGTTTTCTTTCTTTTTTCTGGCTTAATGAGAGCAGTGGGCTTTGTTTATTTAAAAGATTGGATGCAAACTTTTGGTTCTTCAACAGACCAGGAAGCAGATTTCTCATCTCCATCAGAAACCGCACAAATGCTGGATGCTGATGGGGATTTTTTTAATGTGATATTAAATTAAGTGTTCATTTCTGCATTTTTTTTGCTCCTACAAATTTGATAATATTGCCCATGCTCTCCTCAAGCTCCAAGGATAAGTCTGAGCGCAGCAGTACAGGAGGAACAGCGGAGGCTGTAGGCTTTGCTTTGAGCAGGAGGTCTGGAGCACTGCAGGGCGGAGCGGTGATGGGGGATGTCGGATTTCAGGGTATCGTTTAGACACTGTCCTCAGACAACATGTGGTAATTTATAAATGATTTAAATCAGGCTGGGTCCGGATTAGCCTGCAGGTGGATCTGGATCCGGACCACGGTCCGCTAATCTGTAACCTCTGCCTTATAGTGTCCCCACCAACTTTCATTACAAAGTTACACCCTTGTCCCAGAGAGAACCCACGCATGCACAGGGAGAACATGAAAACTCCATGCAGAAAGACCCCAAGCTGAGAGACCATTGTAGGTCTTATTACAAAAATCATTCCTCAGAATACACACATGTGGAACGGAAAGAAAGGAGGGGAATTTTCACAGGTTCACAAACATATCTGTCAATAAGAAATTACTGCCACCTTGTAAACCGTGGAAATGTAGGCATTTACCTTTAAAGTGAACTGTATTGAGTAACAACACTGACACTGCCACTGTTTACATAAATATTCAGTCCCAAAGTGTTTAAGATTAAAATGGTAAAAACATTTTGTTTTCCCTCCTCTTACATACATTTGATATTTCACCTGCATATGCCTCTTTATGCAATATGTCTTTCTTTTCTTTTACTTTTAAAGATGTTGTACATTTTATATTATTTAATGTTGTGTGTAAATCCTCTTTGGATAACTTGTTTTGTCAAGTTTTTCCCCGTGGGAGAAAGATGCATTTTATTCTAATGTCTTTGATATATATTGTCAGGTTTAATCAATGATTATAAAATTAATTTGTGCTTATGAATTATTTGTGCAGTCAGGAGACCATCCTGCCTTGTCATTCTGATGGAGCATCTTGTCTTTATGAACTGATCAATTGTTTTGTCAGAACAATACTCTGTTTGTAATCATGTGCTATGTTCTGTTAATAAAAGACGGCTGCAGGAGGGGATTCGGAGAAGGAAAGCTTGAAGTTGGGTTGGGCTTTTCCTTCCGCTCCTGCAGAAGCTGCTTGAACCTCTTTCCTGTGCAGACTCAATTTCTATGTATTTGCAAAGTTATTTTTCCTGAATCCAACATATATATATATTTTTTTTTATTGCCAGGATAGGACTGCTGACTTATAGCAAAACAAACTAAGATTCCTAATCAGTATTCTGTGTTGAAAAAAGAGCAATTGTACCTCCAAAATTGTGGCTAATGATTCTCCCCAACTGTGTTCACAAACACCTGAATCCCTCCATAAAAAAAAACAAAAAAGCTCCTGCTTTGATTAAGGTCGTTCAAAGAAGTAACGAAACCTGCTTTGAAAATTAGCTATTTGAAAGTGTGGTAAATAGTGCCATTTTTTGTTGTAATTTTAAACTTTCCTGGGATCATGAAAGGGTTTACTTTATTTGTGCCACACTACATTTAGAGGTTTGTGTCTTGCCTGAAATATCGGATATATCCATATCAGTAGGGAACAGTCTCTTCTGGGTGATCTCCTGACTGGGGCGCTTCATCGTTGAGAAAAACATCATGTTTGGAATGGTTTCAATGAAGACCTAACAGGACGGATGAGAAACACAGTTTAAATTCCCTAAGAAGTATTTTCAGAATAGATGCAGCCTTTCTCAGTTCCTATAACAAAGCAAAACATAAACCTTGCGTATCCATGCGGGCATGGTGTGTGTACTGGGCGAGCGGTGATGCGTGTTGATGACAATGACTGTGATGATGATGGATGCGATCACAAACACCATTGTGAACAGCATGTATTTTCCAATGAGAGGAACAGCGCTAGAAGTAGACGGGATCAGCTCAACAATAACCAGTAGGAAGACGGTCAAAGACAGCAGGACTGAAATGGACAGGGTCATCTTCTCACCTTAAGTTAGTGAGACAAAAAAGAACAGCATGACATTGTCTGAAAACACAATACACACTGCAAAAAAATTGAAATCTACATAAGTCAATTTTTCTTAAAATAAGTGTCATTTTTCTTAAATGGAGGAGGAAAGTGAGACATTTTGCCAATGGAATGAGACAATTTACATTTAAAATAAGAAAGTACAATTGTATCGTGTTATTTCAAGTGCATGTTATCTAATTATCTTATTCTAAGAGTGAAAATACTCATTCGATTGGCAAACTATCTCATTTACCTACTCAAATTTAGGGTAAATACACTTAATTTAAGAAATTTTAACTTATTTCTAGATCGTTTTTCCAGTGCAGGAAGCAGCAAGCCAGTTTGAGAAAACACAACATACCTTAAAACAGTATGTTCACTGCAAAAACCATCTCAAAATGAGTAAAATTGTCTTAAATTAAGTGTATATACCCTTAATTTGAGCAGGTAAATAAGATGTTTTGCCAATTGGAATGAGTATTTTTACTCTTAAAATAAGCAATCTAGATATTATGCACTTGAAATAAGACAATGCAATTGTTTTTTTCTTGTTTAAAGTGTAAATTGTCTTGTTCCATTGGAAAAGTGTCTCACTTCAATCCTTAATTCACGAAAAAATACACTGATTTTAAGAAAAAATGACTTATTTAGATTTAAATTTTTTGCAGTGTTCACAAAGCAGTAAGATGAGAGAATAATACTAATAAAATTTAAAGTAAGTAAATAAATAACTAAACTGTTTGGTTCATTTTTGTCTATTAAAAAGCTTTCCTGTTTCCACATTCTTGTTTTAGGAGCACTTTTTCATTTGTTTGTCTCAGTCACTTGAACACTAAATATTCTGTGTTTTATTTCACGACTAGACCTCAACAATTGTCAATATTTTTCTTCCTATTATTGGAAGTTAAACATACAAATTCAAATTCAAGAAATAACAAACAGCATGAATAAGACCAATAGGATTAAGTAAGATTAATGTTTTTTTACAAGATTATGTGAGAACTTAACAAATGAATTACAAATTTTTTGCATAAATAAAATATATATATATATATATATTTCTTTAGTGTCTACATACCTGAATCAGTAGGAAGGTAAAAGACCAGTCCAGTGAGGAAAGAAAACAGCATGCAGGGAATGATGACATTGACAATAAAATAAAGGGGAAGTCGTAGCATGAGAAAATGATAAGTGATGTCCAAATAGGGTGTGTCCGGGCAGCACGTGTAGTAAACCCAATGTTTCCAGCTCCTGTAGTCCTTTAACACCCATTCACCTGACTCCATGAAGTTACTGAGGTCTGGTCGGTCACTGTCCTAAAACCAGAGAGGAATCACAAAATAGACAACCATATTCCTTTTAGATAAAAAACAAGTTAAATTAAAAGATAAAAACAAATTTCTGCATGACAGAAATACATTTACAATCTTTATAAAAGCAGACACTGTTATTGAAAAGTCTTGATGGAATTTATAACTGGACATTCTGCAAAATACCCTGTAGCAAGGGCAGATAAAGGTTAGGGTAGACTATTAAAAAACTTTCTTTTTTTCTATTTCCTTTGAATATTTTAACAATTTATTCTACTTTTTTAATTAAGTTCTGAATGATCTTGGTCTAGGCAGTTTTTTAATCTACACCAGTGTCATATTTAAAAAATAAAACAACTGTCGCTGCTGGGGTTTGCTATATTGCCAGTAATGTTTTTTTCATCTGTTATTGTAAAAAAAATTACTGACAAAGCATTTTTTTTATATTTTGAAAATGGATATAAAAGAGGAAATTTGCTAAAATTGTGAAAAGAATTTTTCTTTTGTGTGTGTCCTATTAGGCAATATAGGTCTTTCACAAGCAGACCAGTATGACTGTTGCCAAAGGGTTCTGCTTGATACTTGTTTATTAAAATTTATTGAACATTATCTAGGGAGTAGAATCATATATAACAGCATGGAAAGGGCAGAGCCCCCAGACTTGTCCCCCTTTTTCCCGGGGGTTCCGGCATTGCGGTGGCTGGGAGTTTTCCCTGGGGCTGTCTCTCCTCCTCCCCTGGTGGGGGTCGGATTTCCTGGGTTGGCCCCTCATTGGCGCCTTTGCTCTTGGGGTCCCTTTGGGCATCTGGGGCTTTGGGTCCCCCGGCGCTTGCCTAGGTGCTCTGAGGGGGGGGCACCTCTTAGAGATTCACTTCCATACAGAAAGCCCATATTCCTAAAAATATCCACTGGACTTGTATTGCTTGGAAACATGCAAATGGAAAGGAGACAATCCCCCCCTTTAACGACAGACCCTCAGAATCATAGACAGGTTTCAGATATTACAGGCTAACAATGGTAAATGGCATGTACTTATATAGCGCCTTTATTCAAGTTAGGAGACTTGACCAAAGCACTTTACACTACATTCACACACACACTGATAGTGGCAAGCTACATTGTAGCCACATCTGCCCTGGGGCTCACTGAGAAGCAGGGCTGCCGTACACTGGCGCCACGGGCCCTCTGACCACCATCAGTAGACAATGCAGGTGAAGTGTCTTGCCCAAGGACACAATGACAATGAAAGTCGGAGTCGGGGCTTGAACCGTCAATCCTTCGATTTCAGGGCAAACTCCTACATCCAACGCCACTGTTGCCCCTTTGTAATGGTACCAAACAACCCACTCATCGGTTTCTATTTGCATGTTTCCAAGCAATAAAAGGCCTTGTCTTTATATAGACTCAAACTCACTGCGGATCCAGACATTTGAATTGAAAAAGCTTCCTGGAGAGGTGGAGAAATGTCTTCAAATCTTGGAAACCAAGTCCAGTGGATTGTTTTTTTACTTTTACGGAATGACTATGACCTAGATGACTGAGAATCTTCATCAGCCTATATTCTTACCGTCAGCTACCACAGTATACATGTCAGATTAAATAATACTACTTATACTTCAGCGATATTATATAGGTGTTACTTAATTGTATGTCTTGTTGGTTGTGCTGTTCTTTTTTCATCTCTTTGCAGGTGATGAAACAGCCTGAAGATGTTTTATCATTATCTCCCTTTTATCTCCTCTCTCTTTCATCTTTTCTCCTTTTTTTTTTTACCCGAGGGATAAAACACAAATGCATCATAGGTAAAACACTCCCACAATGCCGGCCATGACCTTCCACATGGTGTCCCAGTCAATCACATAGTCCCCACAATTTATAAATGTGCAAAGCTGGTGGAGACGTTCAGCTTCAACTGCAGTAAAACGTGACTAAAATGTTTTGTTAGTGGGCTGTGAACAAATGTCAAACATTTAAAATATATGTTGAGAATATTTTGCTACGTTTCTTTTCTTTTCCTACCACATGATAATTTTATACCAGTCTGTATTTAAATAAAAACCAAAAATCTTAATAATACACACATTGTTTTTGGGGTTAATTTTGCCTCATTTTGGAGAATAAGAAACACACTGCATTTTCAAGGAAAAGCTATTCAAATAAAAAAAGATTTGTTCTTACTGGGTTGATGATGACAAGTGTACCATCATATGTCCAGGTACCTAGTTTCATGCTGCAGTTCTGCAGGTCAAATGGAAAGTGAAGGACTATGATCTCACAGTAACTCTTATAAATAGCAGGGGGGTTCCAGGTTATCATGCCTGTGTGCTCCAGCAGGACTTTGGTTTCATGAATGATGGCAAAATCACCATCGGCACTGGGGAAAGGAAGAGGAAGGAGAGAAAAGTCAGAAAAAAATGTGAGCACAACATTTGCATATTTAGGGAAAATTAAGTGTATGTTGTGTTTATTTAAAAAAAAAAAAGTGTTCGTTTACTTGTTGTACAGCACTAAGTCAGGTTTCCATATGTCTGCTGAAGGAATTCTGATCTTTTTGATGCCTCCGTAATCATCTGGATTCCACTGCAGGTTCACATCTTTCCATTGCTGGGAAGGAGAAAAAGGGAAAACATTTCTAAAGATGAATACTAACCTATCTATTGAAATACTTCCCTTAGGTCAGTTTTCAGCATCAATATTTCCGATTGAGTAGGAAGAGTTTTATCTGTACAGAACTTTTATGACAATTTTTAGAGCCTAAAAGAGAGCCCAGTTTTAGTTACGTGCAGATTTTTCCTAAATTGTGCATTGCAGCAATCCACACTGTTGGGTTAGACAAACCATATGCAACCAATAGAACCAGAGTTAGAGAGGAAGACTCTGGTATGCCCCAGCGGGTAAGAGTGTAAATTATCACACTGACAACAATGCCTTCTTTTTGCAATGGAGGGAAAATGCGATGATGAGGAAATCTGAGTGAGCCCAGGTTTAGACAGGTGGCTTTGAAAGGCCTTAATATTACCTATATGGTAATAAATATATCATTCTATTTTTAAAGAGCCTGAGAAATGTATGTGACATCACTCATGTCATGAGTGACTTATGCAATAATTATTAAAGCAATTAAATATAAATACAACTCCAATCTAGAGGTAATTTTAACATTTTGCATCCTGTTTCAGTGTTTTAGATATTCTTATAGAGAAGCTGATAGCCTGTATGTACTAGGACACATTTTTTTCTACAAAAGAGATATCTTACTCTGGAATCCTATTTGTGTGAATTACTATTTCAGACCAAGAGCTGTGATCCTTTTTGCCAGTGGTCCTTGACTGCCAAAGATTAGACGCCATAATTAACTATAACTACCAATTCTATTTATTTAATATGTTCATAATCTTCTGGTAAACTCTCACAACACCACATGGGACACAGTAGCACTGCTGCATAGCTTGTCTAATTGTTTACAGCACAATGATGCATTTTAAACATCTGTCAGAGCACCCGCTAACATTTTTATTTAGTCTCGTCTCATCAAAAAAATTACACCCATGAGTCATCAAAGATTCACGTTTAGCTTGTCAGTTCTTGTCATTGTCATGAAAAAAGGAGCGTCAATGAAATTATTCCATCATTGTAATCGTTAACGAAAAGAACACTGGTCTGAAGTCGTCATTATAGTGGCAGCTGAACCAATAAGTGCATTGATGTCCCACTCATAAATTCTAGAAACATCTTTGATATCATATTTAAATGACAGGTCCTGATCAGAAATAACACCAAGATATTTTACTTTTTTATCTGAGATTTATTTGATCCAATCTAGATGAACTGACTGACTAATCAGCTTCTTTTTCAAAGACTCTGGTCCAAAGACAATAACTTGTTTTGTCTGCATTCAGAAGCAGAAATTTAAGAGTCATCCATTTTTATGTCCTCAAGACATGCCTGTACTCTACCTAACACTTTGCTTCATCCGGATTCATAGACAGATATAGCTGAGTTTCATCGGCATAATAGTAGAAATTAATCACATGCTGTCTGATAATTCTATCAATTCGGAGCATATATATAGTAAAGAGAATTGGCCTTAGCATTGTTTCCAATGGTTCTCCACAGGTAACACTGGTCCATGATGAATAATTGACGTGAACGAACTAAAATCTGTCAGATGAATAAGATTTAAAACAGTCAAGATTTTGACCAGTCCAGTTTGCTGTCCAACCACACCCCAAGGTACTGTACTTGTAGGAGTCCACGGGCTCCACCTCAGTTCCCTCTAGTACGACTGGTCTTGGCTTTTGTCTGGACCTCCTAAAGTGTATAACCAGCTCCTTTGTCTAAGAGGAACTACTTTCTCAAGAATTTCAGATAAGAAAGGAAGGTATGGATATAGGTTTATGATTGACCAAGTCATCTGGGTCAAGAGACTGCTTCTTAAGTTAAGGTTTAATTACAGTTACCTTAAAAGCCTGAGATACATATCCCTGTAACAGGGATAGATTAATCACATCTAAAAGGAAGGAGTAAATCAGGGGGAATACTTAATTTAATACCTTGGTTTGGACCTGGATCTGATATACAAGTAAAAGGCTTAGATGAAGATAATAGTTTTGCCAACTCTGAAGTTCAACTGGATCAAAGCAGTCCAAACCCAGTTCAGATTCTTTACATACATCTCAACAAAAACAGCAGTAGTAGCTGTAATTTGTTCCAATTGTTGAGTAAATGCAGGGATAGATGAATGGAAGAATAGTAACTCCATAAGGAGGGTGTTAACTCAGAACAAAGATGAAAGCGAAAAGAGGCTAGGATAAAAATTAACTCTTAAGTCTGGAATTGCAGTACATTACCAAAGGGCAGAAAGAAGACGCAATGGCTAAGGGTTCTGCTGTGAGAGGAAGCTGATGGATGAATCCTGAAGGTTCCTGCATTTGAATCTTTTGAGAGGTGTGGATGCAAGATGTTAGTGATATTTTTGTTGATGATAATTGAGTCTTTTAAAACCTAATAATACCTGCCTGTTATCTGTCAAAACTATTGTTTTTTCCAAGAAGTTTATCTAATTAGGACAGTTCTTCTGTCAGAATATACAGTTGTAACGTTCATTATGTACAAAACAGAGACTTCGGAATTAAATTGGGGCACAGAAAGAGTGGATCCTTCTTAACACTGATCTCTGTGCTTTTATCTGCGACACTGTGTAATAGTTTGATAAGGCTGGAGCCTTATCCTTGAAGGATACATCGCTATCCTTCAAGGATAGCGATGTATTCTCCCGTGAGGCTTTGCGAGACCAAGCAAGCCAGCTGCTCTGTGGTTAGAGGAAAAAGGTTACTTGGCGCCGAACAGTGGTGAATATTGGAAGTTCAGTTTAATATAATACAAGTATATGAATAGTTCCTTCTGAAATGAATGAAAATAGTTGTTTTAATGGTTATAGAGTCAGATATGTGGCGGTAACGTTTGATTTATCTAAAGGTTTTTATCTGTTACTGTGTAAATGGGTTTGGCAGTAATTTAAGGACAGATTCTAATATATCTGCAGGGTGGGGACTATAAATCTGATATTTTTTTATTGCTGTTTTTCATAATTTTCATAACTAAGTATTTTTTGTTAGATATATTCTTTATACATACATTGTTTAGATTTACTTATATCTTTCTACCCCTTTTAGAGAATAAAAAAATCTCTTAATTGTCCCACAATGGGCAAATTTACAGCAGCAGAAAGATTATTGAAAATTGTCACACAAATTTGGACCTTAGAAAAATGTAACATAATAGGGAAGATTTAAAATATTAAAAAAATACAATTCTGTAAAGTGTTTTAACAATATAAAATTGTGCACCTGGAGAATAAATAACCAATATCCAGCTATGGACATTTTTACAGTAATGGATATAGCAGCAACATCAGAGATGTGCAGAATGACAGCAGCAGGTTATTTAACTGACTAAGGTTTCTATCATTACATTTGATTCTATTTGTTCCTGCTCCCGGTGGTTAAAACCTTTATTCCACTCTGGATTCTTGTGAGTGTAGCCTTTGTTTTCTTTGTTCACTTTATAATAAAAAATAAGTAAACAAACAGTTTTGAAAACTTCGGTATTGATTCTTTTCCTGCTTTGTGTGTCAACTGTCATGGTTGCTAAGCAACAGAGCATACGGCGGTAAAACCCACAGAAGGGTAGACCTGGTCGAATTCACAGCCAAAACTCTTCCGGTCTCCTTATTTTCACAGAATTCAAAGGATCGAGTCTAGGTAGACCGCATCCTTGGAGGATCCAGCCCATGAATTCGAACAGAGCCCTAAATTCACCTAACGCAGCCTGTCCCTCCGAAATTACATCATGAACTGCAGCTCATTAAAAACCACTGTGAGCCCAGAATTGTTCCTCTTCCACTGGGGACCATCGGTCCGGACAGATAGACCTAACCTTCCAGCTGGACATCATATTACATATTATTTTGCTTGATGCAGAGAGAGCATATTAGATAAACAAATAAGAGATGGGTTTACCTCTGCACAATTCTATATCTTCAAAAGAAAATACAGGATAATTACACATATAACACACATATTTAGACTATTTGGTTAAATAGGCACGAATTTACCTTTTGTCGTTGTTGCTGATAAGTTCAAATGCAACCCATTTCAAAGTGGAAAAAAATCCTAATTCTACATTCACCAGAGCCGGTGATGATTTAAGCACTGATAAACAGCATCTAGTTTGTTTAGTTCTTATCCAATTTCTATCAATGTTGCAAGAAATATTGCTTTTCTCTTTAAACAAAATGCGACCTGAGGCTCACGTCAAGCATTAAAAAAAGAGCACGAATATTGCATAGGACCAATGACATCAGACCAATGAAACTTAAGACAAGTAGTGTCCCTACCAAAGTTGAAATCAAACTTACGCCCTTGAGGGGGAGAATTATTCAGATTAGGCATCAAGAAGCAAAAGAGAGCAGGGAATGGATAGGGCAATTAACTCTGATAAAGAGAGTGAGTACCTTGGAAACCTGATGTTAATTACTGTTAATGTTAATTTTATTTAATGAAGGTGAAACAGGAGAAGGACAATGAACTAATGAGGTAAGGGCAAACAGGAAGAGCTCCTGTGGCGAGACTAGGATTATTAGAATTAGAAAAATATATTCAGGAATGAAGGAGGGAAGGGGGATCGATTGTGGAGGAAAGGGGAAGAGGACAGATATGAAGAGTATGGAGGAAGAATTTCAGAAGCATTTGGCTGGGCTGGCTGTTATTTTAAGAGGAGCAGGAGTCAAACTAGGATGAAAGATAGAAGGAAGAAAAGAAGAATTGATGCAGGGATGAAGAGGAGCAGTAGTACTGGAATTTAAGGAGCCTGAGTAAAAAGGATGTATTGATGCTAGGTATAACCTTCAGGACTACTTTAACAGAGTTCTCCACCATTGTCAGATAGTGCAGTTATAAATTTGAAAGGATCTGTTTCAGTTTCTCTCACCACTGTGTCGCTTAGTAGTACTGCAGAGGGCAAAAGTTTAGTTTATTCCCATTCACAGGTTGAATGGGAATAAACGCAGCCCCTTTGAAAAAGAAACACTTAACTAAGATAAT